GACAGAGTTACGGACCCGAGCTGAGTGTCAGGGTGGGAGAGGGGGGAGGGCAGGGGGTGAAGCAGAGAGATCGAAAGCACGGTTGAAGAGGAGGGTCTTGAAGGTGGCGAGGGAGGGGGTGAGACGGAGGAATTGCAGGAGCCCGCCCACCGATAGTGGGGCGAGCAAGACGGGGGACATGAAGCAGGCCGGAGCCCGCTGAGCGGAGGGAGCGAACGTGGTGGTAGGGGGTTAGGAGGTCGCAGAGGTCGGGGGGAGCAAGACCATGGAGGGATTTGAAGGTGAGGACCAGGATCTTGAACAGTATCTCTGATGGGAAGCCAGTGGAGTTGGGTGAGGATGGGGTGATGGGGTCACGGAGCCTGGTGCAAGAGAGGACACGGGCTACAGAGTTCTGGGTGATCTGCAGCCTGTGGAGGGAGGAGTTGGAAAGGCCGACAAGCAGTGAGTTTGCATAGTCGAGCCTCGATGTAATGAAAGCGTGTCTGAGGGTTTTGGTGGCCTGTGGTGTGAGACAGTGTCAGAGCCGGGTGACATTACGGGAGTGGGGGGAAGGCAGAGCGGGTCATGGCGCAGATGTGGGGTAGAAGCTTCAAGACAGCAAATAATACATCTTAAAAATCAAGTTTTTTTAAAAAAAACCAGACCTGTTAAAAACTGCTTACTCTTGCTTTATTCCCCATTAATAGGGTTGTAAAGAAGAGACCACGAGATAAGGCCACTTCTGCATCTCTGACAAGCCCACTGATCAGAGACCAGCTGGGGTGCTACAGCCTGTGATCAGTCCCAAATGATCTAGTTTCCTAGACAACATGTTGGGTTGGGGTGGGGGTAGAGAGAGAGGCAAAATACCCCTTCCCTCATGTTTAGCACTGCATCTGACCTTTAACTGCCAATGTTTGGATATATGGATTCGAAGTTTAAAATTGCAATTTAAAAAAAAACAGAATTAAGCTCAATGACATCTTATTCTTCCAAAAATGCAACATGGTGCTTTAAACATCTGTTGATCCAATAAACAAACAAAAGAAGACATTTCCCTCTTCCCCACCACCCAGACGTGGACTCTTTGTTATTAATTATTATTAATACTCAAGATTAGAAGCAGCTAAGGATATTTAAACAATTAATATTGGTTTTGATGACTTTCTTTTCTTTACACACACACACACACACACACGACTGCAATTGTCGATCATAAATAAAACACTCGAATGATCCAGTTCCAATGTTATTATGGATTTAGTGGTAACGCAGAACGATTTATGACCACATAGCAAAGGGGATTTCAACACTGTCATTGTGCACACACTAACCTCTTGCATTGGGGGAACAAATAATTTACATTTTAGCATCTTTCGACCATCACTTGTCAACGTGGGGAGAGGAAAGAAAGACTTGGGTCTCTGAATGGAAAATGAGAGATTGCTACAGTCTGTATATTTATTGCAAATTCTAGCCATGGGCAGTTTTTCCTACACACACGTTCAAAAAGGACCCATGTTTCCATCAGCAGATCCTATAAGCCACACCGCAGGCGTGTTTGGAGTGCTAATACCCAGCAAGGTATCTGACATGCAGAGGTTCTCCAGAACAGTAGAAAGGACATAGCAATGGCAGCATTAACAATACTATTGGTGTCTGCAGAGAAAAAAAACCATTACAATCCAACGCGCTTAAATTAGAACCAACATTTCACTTTAAGCATCTTGCGTTTGATCAGGATTTAACCCTTCCAGAAACGAAGGGCTTGAAGAATTGAATCTTTTTTTTTAATTCAATGAATTGCTCCACAACCAGCGCATGATTTTGCACAAGACATACATTTGTGAAGATTTCAACCAATGTAATCTGGATTTCCCCCAAAGGAAGCACAAAGCGCCATTGTAAATGCCCAATACCTCCCAATGATTACAACACACACACACACACACACACACACACGGCCTTCAAACTGAGCAATGTGTGTTGTGTGTGTGTTTATTTTACACCAATAAAAATCAACAGAAATCAAGAGAAAAGCCCTGATTTTTTCAGAACAATGAACAAGCGATATCAGCTGACAGTTTAAACACACACACACACACACTTTTTTTTAGGAGGGAGGGGAGGGGGGGGGGGGGGGGTTCAGAATAAATAAAGACAAGATGAATGCATTTTTCATTTGGGCTATCAAAGAAAGATTTCAGCTCAGTTCCCCCCCCCACTAAATTCAAGACAGCAGTTTGCCAGAGTGGTGGAAAAGGCAGACAAGTAATGATTGAGTCAGGGTGACAGTGACCACACTGAACTCACTCCAGGGCATCAACCAACGGTGGGCAAGTCAGGGATGCTGTTCAACAGCACAGACAAGGGTGAAGCAAAGAAGCATCTCCCCCCCCTCTCCATCCTCCCCCCTCTCCATCCTCCCCCCTCTCCATCCTCCCCCCTCTCCATCCTCCCCCCCTCTCCATCCTCCCCCCTCTCCATCCTCCCCCTCTCCATCCTCCCCTCCTCTCCATCCTCCCCTCCTCTCCATCCTCCCCTCCTCCCCCCCTCTCCATCCTCCCCCCCTCTCCATCCTCCCCCCTCTCCATCCTCCCCCCTCTCCATCCTCCCCCCTCTCCATCCTCCCCCCTTCTCCATCCCCCCCCTCTCCATCCTCCCCCCTTCTCCATCCTCCCCCCTCTCCATCTCCCCCCTCTCCATCCCCCCCTCTCCATCCCCCCCCTCTCCATCCTCCCCCCCTCTCCATCCTCCCCCCTCTCCATCCTCCCCCCCCCCCCCCCCCCTTCTCCATCCTCCCCACACCCCCCAAGTCAGGCTTTCACTTACCTGTCTTGAAAAATGCTGCGATGTCAGCATCGTTGACGCATTCTTCTGTCCCTTCCGTGGGATTCATGGCTTGGTCTGGGTGTAGAGATATACAATTACATCCACTTCTAGTGCAGCTCCATGTTGGGTGTTTGGCTGGCGAGCTCGCCACTGGTGAGGGCAGGGCTTGCTCACCCCTGTGTGTGTGTGTGTGTGTGTGTGTCTGTCTCTCTCTCTGTGTGTGTGTGTCTCTCTCTGTCTGTCTTTCTCTCTGATCGAGTGGTTGAACCCTCTCCTGTGTCTGTCTGTGTCCTCTCTCTATTGTTCACATGCGCCCTCCTCTCCCCAACAGCAGCATCACAACACCAACCATAGGCTGCACATGGAGCTCGACTCAATGCTGTGCATTTCCCCCCCCAGTGACAGCTCAGTCCTTTAACACACACACACACACACACACCGCCTTTAAAACATGCAACAGATCGGGGGGACGTCCACACGAAGGGCAGAAATGCCCACTCACCCTTTCCCCCCCCCAATAAGTAACAGAACCAGTTTTTTTTTTAAAAAAATGAGCCTAAAATGCAACTCAACCACAGTGAGTGAGTGAGTGAGTGAATCAGCGAAAGCCTCCAATTGAAATAACATTAATGACACAGACAAACACACACACACACACACACACAGGGCGTTTGCCCTTAGCCCCCCCACCCCACCCCACCCCCCACCCCCCAAAAAAAAAGCCCAATTAGGAAACCTTGACTTGGTGATGTGGGTTTCTGGCAGAAGGAATTTGCAACGTTAGAATTGAAACAAATCAAAATAGGATGTGTTCGAGAAAGGCAGAGGCAGTGATCCCACTTGGGCAGCTGTCCCTGCACTGAGAGCTGCTCTTACGGTGAAAACCCTTCCCCTTTTTTTAAAAAAAAAATTAAAAGGAAGGGTGGAGAGCAGCGCTGGTTCCCTGACCTGGACCTGGACCATTCCGTGGCTGTGTACCGCCGTCTGCTGTTGGGTTTAAGCACTCAGCAGTATCCCAATTCTCTTCCCATCGATCGTTGCGTAATGCAAGGATTATTATTATTATTATTATTATTATTATTTATTCCCACGAAGGTACTCGTCCCCCCCAGTCTTGTTTTAATCTGCGGGTTATCTGTCATTTGGAATGTGATCATCGCGACCTTGTGGTACGGCGAGTGATCTCGTCTCCGCCAACCGACACGATGATGATAATAATAATAATAATAATAATCCTTGCATTTGATATAGCGCTTTTCACGTCGGGAGGACGTCCCAAAGCGCTTCACAGAACACACTGTAAAGTGAATCGACTGTATATTTGTGGGCGAACGCGGCAGCCAATTGCGCACAGCAATGTCCCACAAACAGTCGTGGATTGAAAATGACCAATTTATTATTGTTTTGGGTTATGGAGGGATTATTATTAGGCTCTGTGTGGAGTAAGGAAACTTGGCCCAAGGTTTCGCCCTCTGCCTGGAATTGATCTCAGGTCTACTCGCTCGCAAAGCGAGTGCTCTAACCACTGAGCTACAGGACTCCACATAAGATAAGTCTTTTTTTTAAAATTCCATTTAGGTGTCACGGGTTTTGTTTTGCTTAAACACACGAGACTTATGTATTCCCCGGAGTCAATCTGCTCACCGTGTGAGCACTTTTCTGCTCACGGTTACTTGTCACTGAGATGTTTTAGATCGGCTCCGAAAATTGGAGAGAGGGGCGATCGCACCTCAGGGAACAAAAAAGAGCAATTTTGGTGATCGTTTCATCAGTTCTCGGTGTGAAGTTGAAATACTCGGGATTTTGCTCAATAAAAAAAACACACACACACCTGTGTCCAGAGGCTCACCTGTTGCACAGACAGTTATCACTCGCACAGAATGATCCGTGAGGCCACCACACGTCTGAGCTGATGGCTCTCAACACCACTCCCACTCCCCACTCCCCCGGTGCGTCTCTCACGATTCACACCCGAACCCACACACACACACTCTCTCTCTCTCATCACCTGAGGCTGAGAGGTGTGGGACCCGTCAGCGCGCAGTGCGCATCGCCAATAACTCACAAGAAAAGCACTAAATCGGACCCCCCCACAAAAACACACACACACAGACACACACAGACACACACAGAGATTTGCCAGGAGTCACGCGCTGGTTTCCAACCTTTTTTTTAATTCAATCCATATATTATTTTTTTTAACCGACAACCACACAAAAAAAAAAGAAAAACTGAAAAGTCGCACTGTGTGACCAGAGATGGACGGAACTTGTAACGACCGATCCATCGGCGATCAGCTCCACGGTGTCTTGTCACTTTGACCCCCCAACCCCAGGGGAGAGAGAGAGGAGAGGAGGGAGAGGGGGGGACTCACACCTTACAAGTTGGACCTCTGCCTTTAGCTGTTGTTTCACTGCTTGAAAGTGCGAGAGCCACAGCGTAGCCAAACCCGTCTGTGCCGTCAGGCGGTCAGTTGCCGGGAGACGGGTCACAACGCAATGCGGACAATGGACCGCAACACCGTACGCAACACAACACAACACCGCCGCACACATCCCCCTCCGATACCTGAATGATGCGCCGCTGAGAGAGAGGTCATTTCAACGCAGCACAGCGCAGTCTTGAATATTTCAGGTAATTCCTCTGACACTCGAGTGGTTTGCAAGAGGGGGCGACAGGGGGTTTCTCTCTTTGATCTCAATTCTTTTTTCCTCTCTCTCTCTCTCTCTCTCCGCCTCTGTTGCGCTGCGCTCTTTTCCAGCAAAACGCTGACACGTCTTTCATATGTATATATACACATATATATATATATAAAAAAATACATATATATTTTCCTTCCGATTTAGTCACCTCTCCGCCTTGTTTCATCCCGGGGGTTAGATTCTGGCAGCTTTTAGGTCCCTCTCCGAGGGGAGAGCTCTTCAGGTGTCAACGCAATACAGTGAGTGTTTCCCGAGGAAATAGCATTAGGGGATCCCTCACCGGTGGAACTGTGTCACACACACAACCACTCCAACTGCAAACAAAAGCTCAGCGAGAATTATCATTCATCAAACCCGGCGCACCCCCCCCCCCCCCCCATAGGATGCTGCACGACCTCAAACCGCCAGGGAACGCTTTTAAGGATAGAATACAACTTTTTGAGCCATTATTTATGAAAAATAAATCAAGTTGAGTGGTTAAACAGCACAAGAAAGACCCCACTCCAGTGTTGCAGCCACGAGCGAGTTACCTCAGTCATTCCAGTGGTTTATTCACTGTCAAAACATTGTAATGGGTGTGTATTCCAACTTGCAATACACATAGTATTTTTTAAGGTTCTGTAACAGTGTTTGAAATAGCCCAAGTGCTGATTTTGAATGCTGGTCCTGCTGTGGGGTGAGCTAATAACATGAGCTGAAAGGAAGAGGAGTGCAGCAGTGTTTGGCATTGGAAATTCTGATTTTCTAGTTGGTGCAAAATTACACCAATTGGTAGAAACTGCATTTATACCTTTTAATATACGTGCTCTGCTTCCAGTCTGGTCAATTTCCGCTCTGCACGATATCCTCTGTACTCCTAATTATACAGGAATAACCAGCACCAGTTAATTGTTCTTTGATTTTTTTAAAAAAAAAAACTGAAAATTTTAATTTTTACTTGAGCAGTCAGGCTCTGGGGAATAATAAAGGAAGATAAAGATTTGTCAAATTTCTGTTGGCATCCATCTAACATTATGTTAGGGGACAGCTTAGAAAAATAATAATAGAACTTCAAAGCTTTGGCTTTGTATGCAGCAGCTGTTTTCGAGCTGCAGTGGACTTTCACAACACACACCAGAGGTTGACATGTTTAGCCTTTGTAATATTTGTGACACGAGAGCTGATGAGCAATTGATAAGATACAGAAAATGGATACGCGATGAACACGAGAGAGGAGGGCAGCACCAAAAATGATTAGGTCCATTTAAGCCCAAGGTCTAATGCATTTTAATAAAGATCAATAAGGTTAGCAGACTTGAACATGCAGTATGTGCTGAAAGAATGACCACTAGTTAAGGTGTAAATGGACTTTGAGTAATACTTAATAATAATCCATGCATTTGACATAGTGATTTTCACATTGGGAGCACATCTCAAAGCGCTTCACAGGATATAATGCCAAATGTAATGACTGTATACTTTGTAGGTTATCAACTTATGAACTATTTAGTGAAAGCATCATCTTACAAACATGAAGCAAATTCCCCAACCTTGTATAAATAGTTTTGCTACCTTTGGAATAAAATGTACACTTTGGGAGGATAACCTTCAAAACATTAGATGCTTCAGAAACTAAAATAATATTGATCTGAACAATCCAAATAAAAAATAACAAACTGGAAGCTATGTTAATCCATTCTGAGATTGCCTCAAAGTCCCCCTAAACAGCTTTTTTTGAATTCCACGGTGGCTAAATATTTCATTTTGAAGCCAGCTCAGCCGCAAGAAAACCCTGCTCACCTCACCCTATCCAAAGGAGGATAGTCACTAGTTGAAATCCTACAAATCTAGGTTAAAACCCTCACTTTCTGGGTAGTATATACTCGCTGCCAGCTTCCAGGTGAATAGCACGATTAGGCATCTATCTTGGTTACTTCAACAACTTGCTTTCATGTAGCGCCCTTCACGTGGCCTAGCGGAGTCTGACACAAGCCAGGGGGAGAGGGAGGGGGGAGGTGACCATAAGACCGTAAGGAGGTGGATGTATCTCATGCCATTTCTCCAGAACTCTGGATGTTCATTTTATTTTTGATATAGCAAGTTGGCAGCTTTGAGAATCATCAATCCCATTTGGACATCTGTGGTTGTCTTGGTACATGTTATTGGAAATTAATATCCCTGTAGATCTACTATTTTTATTAAATATAAATTCCTTTATGAATCTTGTAAATTAGATCCCCATTACAATATTTCTTAGTTTCAATTAGAAAATTCTTGACTTATATGATAATTTTAATAGAGCTAATCTTGATACGTGTTGTTTCCAGTAGACTGGGGAAGATGCCATCTACACAGAAATATGGTACTGCTGTAGGCCAGCTTCCGGATATCCTGAAACAGTATACAAAGGATTGTATTAGGGCCCAACCTTCAGATATCATTCAGTGGTCTACAGAGTAAGTTACATTAAACTCTTTAAGTTTTACCTCAGTGTAATTCCCTATTCATTTTCCATAGCCTTTGGCTCTACGTAATAATAAACCTTGCATTTGATATAGCGCCTTATCACATCTTTGAGACGTCTTAAAGCGCTTCACAGAATATACTGTAAAGTGAATTGACTGTATATTTTGTGGGTGAAACGCGGCAACCAAAATTTAGCTGGGGAATATTGGGGCAATATTGATTTATCCAGCTTCCGGATATCCTGAAACAATGTACATAGGATTGCATTAGGGCTCAACCTTGTGATACATTCAGTGGGTCTGCAGAGTAAGTTGCATTGGAACGTTTAAGTTTTACCCTCAGTGAAGTGCTATTATCCCCTGTCCACCTTCCGTGGGCTCTGGCTCTATGTAATCTTTTTAGCTATGGACTATTGGGGCAACATTTGCAGTGGTTCTTCAACAAGCCGCTTGTATTAATCAGCACATGGAACATGTCAATAAATCCTTCAAATTTGTTATCCCTTAATCATCACGTGTCTATTAAGGGTTCACCTTTACTCACCTCACGATTCTCTGGTCTGATTCCCCCATAGACGCTTCTCTTGGTCAGCTGGCTAATTACCAGGGAAAACACTCTTGATATGGTCAGTTTCCTTGTGTGAGCCAAAATTGTGGTTTTAAACCCATATTAGGAATTTTAACTAACGATTTCCCCCAAGGTCAAATTCCTAATATGTCATTACAACCATCTTTCTGACCTACACCTGACCAAATAAAGGTGTTTATGTTAAACCAGCAAGTGGACAGCTAGCTCACCGGGAGAAGTCGGCAGTGGGGGAAATCAGAGGTCAAGAGCAGCGGGGTGTAAAGGTAAGTGCTCTAATAGCATGAATGGTTCTAATTTAGGAACACTAACAATGTTGCATGTACTCCTTAAAACATTTCTGGTCCCAATTGCTATTTAAGACAAGGAATGCCCCATACGTTGCCCCAAGATGTCATATCTGATGTGGCGTTTCATGGCTGTTTGTGCTGTGGACAATTGGGCTGCAGCGTTTGCGTACAAATACATAGTCACTCCATTTCACAGTAAATCCTGTGAAGCGCTTTGAGACTGATGTGATAAGGTGCTATACCAAATGCAAAGATTATTATTACGCCAAGAGTTATGAAAGTCGCAGCTTGTTGAAATGACCTATACAATAAGTAGAAGATGTGAAATGGTCTACCAGATCTAATCCTCACTGTTTGATAGGTGTAACAGCGGTGTAGATTCAATCGGCCAATCTAGTTGTTGGGGATCTGACTTGTAGGGGTAACAGGAACTGAGTAGGAATACAAGTGAGATAAGAATGTAGCTTTCTCTGCTCTACATCTCAAGAGTGCTATTTTATGAGTGACATTCTACCTCTGCATACTTAACAAAAATATAATTTCTGCAGTTACTTCATCACGATGGCAACTGGAGAACTTCGTCCAGGAAGATCAAAGGAGGAAAAAGAAAAGTCTCTACCACCATGCAAAGTAACTCTTACACCTGGCTTATTAAGGGCATTACACTCACAAGTAAGAGAGTATACTTTTTTTTGTCTCTTCAATTCATTTTATCTAATTGTAAACAGCACAGTAAGTGCGAAAAATGATTAATGAAGAATAATTCCTATTTTATCCTGCCACTGCTAATAGTGCAAGCAAACTGAAACTTTCCTGATAATTTGCAATACTTACTATTAAGTAGAAATGGTTAAGGTTCACTCACTTCATATCTGTTTTCACCTCCTTCCTTCATTGTCACTCTTTTGAAAACTTATTTTATGGGGAATTCTAGGTTTGAATCAAATCATACTTTTTGTACAAGAGACTGTAATATCCGACTCTATGCCACAAATTGGCCTTTTATTTTGACTTTTCATGGATAGTTCCCAAATCATTTACATTAGTTTCAGTCTTTGTCCCGCTGCCTCACATAAAGCAACTCTCAAACTGCAGGCTTATCTTTTGTGATCTCATAAAAGTGCACCTGTCAACACAGCTGTTTAACTAGAAGAGGCAGCAACGTCCGATGACATGAAGGGAGGCGTGTGATACATCTGTCAGCATGATGAAGGAAGCTGCCGCTTATTCACAGGGGTGAGGTGGAGGGGTTGATTTCCAACAATTGATATGTCATCATAAACCAAAACTCAGTTATGTTTGAATTTGTTAATTTTACATTCGTGACCATTTAAGAATAACATTGATAGAAGCTCACGAACAGATTTCATCTTACTCACCATATTGGCTTCACCAAGCTGTAGCACTGGGAGAACCCAGTGGAAATGAAAGAGTAGGACAAATCTGTTTGCATTTACTCTAGTACCATAACTAAAAATGAACAATATTAACGTTTTCATTTGGGAACAAGATTCATTTCAATTACATGTCTCTAGGAGATTGTACATCAAAATACTTCTTGATATTCTTGTAAAGCAAATAGCATCAAAGGAAATTTGTATCTAAAGTTGTAAATTTGGCAGATAAAAAACGTTTTATAGAAATCATCATTTCATTTTTTTCAAAAACTTCATTTTTTTCAAGTATTCAATGTTCAAAAACCTATTAATTTGTGACTATCTTTATTATCATCTCAGCACATTAATTAACCTACTGTCATAAAACTGTAAAAATGATAATAATAATTTGGTCCCTCAATCCACGACCATTTGTGAAACACTGTTGTGCGCAATTAGCTGCTGAGTTTTGTCCACAAAATCTAGTCAATTCACTTTACAGTATATTCTGTGAAGCGCTTTGAGACATCTTGAAGATATAAGTTGCTGTATCAAATACAAGGATTATTATTATTATTATTATTATTGCGTCGCATCAAACATTAGTGAAACAATCCACTGAGAGCAGAGGAGCAATTATTATTTTGATAGTAAAATGTAATGTACAAGATTTCAACCTTTACATTTGGAGTTCAGTATTATTATTATTGGATGCTGATTAACGTAAGATGCACATAATTTGTAGTTATCAATCCAGTTTCCCCTCTTTATAAGGTCAATGGAAGATTAATAGTACAATCAAAAGAAATTGAACAAAAATGGAATGATCTTGGACTACCACATGACATTCTGAGACGAATCATGACTGTGGGTGGTTTTGGCACTGAAATTGAATGGATGAAGTTCTTTGCACTAGGGTGCAGCACTATTGATTCAGTAAGTATCCTGGCAGTCTTTTATTATATATTTTTAAATTTAATCCCAAATTACTAGTTAATGGATTAGTTTACCTTCATGTAGTTCTCATTACTAAAGCTGAAATGCCATCAATGGCATTTTAACAAAATGAATTTGTCAGTCCAGTAACAAAATTAGTCATGGTCAAGCAACATTTGCTCCTAGTTCGACAGCCACAGATCACTACGTTTGGCCCTAGTACTTTTCAGGGAAGAAAAATGAAAGTAATTGGCACCAGTCAAATCGCCAGTCAATAATAAATACAGCCCCCGTGTGAAAAGTGGCCACTTGAGTAACTTGCAGGAAGGCCACAGAATCTATCGAGTGAGTGCCTTAAGGAGAAGGGGTGAAAACAGGAAGTGGGGGTAGCTTGACCCTGTACTGGAAACGCAATACACCTCGATTGTGGAGTTAATTAGCCAGTTTTCTGCTCTAAACATTCACTGCCTCCCAGACAGCCACTGACAACACTTTCAGCATTAAACATCGCTGGTTTCACTTCCTGCGTGCTGCACAAAAAAGATTTCACTCTTTGTCCACAGAACATCACAAATGCCATGAAATATGCCTTTGAAATTTTGAGCTCAAATGAAGAAAGTGGTCGAATCCCTTACACCACATTCCGATTTCTATACAGCTATCTTGCTATGATAGATGGAGAAATTCATCGATCACAAATTGAAAAAATGTTGAACAACATTGAGCGTCAAGTGTAAGTATGATGAGAATATTTTATAAAGGAAAGATAAACTCACTACCTCATAGCATGAGTATTCCTCAGGCCTATATCATGTTTCCTCCGTATCATTGTAGCTCAAGAGGAGGAAAGAAGTCCTTTAGGCTTAAAATTAATAGAACCAAACAAAATAATCTTTCACAGGCTACTTCTAGTGGCTGTTCAACTCTACCCACTAGTCTCGTTTAAGGTTTTCCAGTTTATCATATTAAACCTGGGCCTTTACTGGGTTGAAGGATTCTTATCCACCTGATGGGGAAAATTAACAATATATTTCATAAGGCCGCTAAATTCTTGATTCCTGCATTCACATTTGAGAGCCTTTTCAAATGCATCCTAAGGAGTTTACGTGGTTATATACTAGTAATAATAATAATCCTTGCATTTGATATAGTGCCTTATCATATCTTCGAGACGTCTCAAAGCGCTTCACAGAATATACTGTAAAGTGAATTGACTGTATATTTTGTGGGTGAAATTAGTACCATTAGTATTAAACTCACTTCAAAAACACAGATCTGATCACACAAACCAGAATATTTCAGATAAAACATTCTAAATGTATTTCTATGTAATTTAGCTGTTCTGTGTTTTTTCTTAAATTAAAAAGGGCTGTTCAACTGAAGACTGGTGACATTCTTAAATTAATTAAATGCAGTAATCTTATTTTTTTTAAAAAGAAACACTCAATTTAAAAGAATAAAATGACCAGGATATTTAAACTCTGCACCAGACTTTAGCCGAAAGGTTCCTTTTTAAAAAAAATCTACTGCTTCACTGATAACAATATAAACAATTTTAAAATTACCCTTTTCTTTGAACTAAAATTAGATACTGTACTAACAGCGGGGTGGATTTTTGTTTGTAGTCAGAATCTTCCTTTAATTTTTAATGAGATTTTCAAACACGGCTTCATTAAAATAGCCTAATTTTCATACATCCAACAATTCTATATCCTGGTTATGGATATTCAACCTAATTATTCTTCAAAACATAAATTACAAGAGACTACAGTAAAACTAAAAGCTAATTAAATATATGATCTGTACAAAAGAAACTCCTTTGCATGAGGTAGTTTTGAATTAATTAAAAATAATAATCCTTGCATTTGTTATAGTGCCTTATCACTTCTTCGAGGCGTCTCTAAGCGCTTCACAGAATGTACTGTAAAGTGAATTGACTGTATTTTTTGTGAGTAATACTATACAATTATAGTATTAATAACTGCCATACTGCCTTCACTATAACTACATCTTTTTCCTGTGACCCACAGCGCTGAAAGCGATGGTCTTGTCAAAGTGTCCGATTTTACCAGCAACTGTAGATGATGGAACTAGCCACCAGATGAAATCATCCAGTGAAAAATGTGAAGGCTAAGCACAAATTGTGCCAATTAAAATTCTTTTGCCCTTTCAGAAACAGCACTGCTTGGCAATGAACTTACTTTGTCCATAATGCCACTTAAATTTGCATACATCAATAAACCTTGTAGATTAGTGGAGAAATACATTTTCAGATGTCTGTGTTAATAATCGGGTGATGCAAGGTAAAATTTATCTAAGATTTTCTATCTAACTTTAATGGAATAAGCCTACTCAAAATGTTCTAACTTTCGTACTGCTCATTAGCAGTAGAATATTTTATTAAGTGCTATATCATTACGATTTTATTGCGCTAATTTAAAAAAAGATGACAAAAATATTTAAATTATTTAACCTTTCCCTCTAAAATACTGTTAGAAATAAATAATTTTCTTTTACACGAGCTAGAATTTGGAGTCGCGTCATCTTAGCGTCATTTTGTGCAGCTCCCCCAGCGCCCCCCCCCCCCACCCCCCGCCTCCCCCACCCCGTGTAAGCGGTGTTATGCAGATTTTGATCGCTCTCTCCCAAAAAAAAGCTCGGTGTTTCGTAACGCTCTTATGTCATAACAAACAAGAATAAAATGAACGATTAGGGTGTCAAACCCACTTTGCCTCTATATCCTTCATCCGCCCCTCCTCATCCTCCTCATCATCCTCGACCCGCCCGTTCCCTTTGCCCAGCGAAACACCGGCTTTGCTTAGGGTCATCCCAGCCCGTCTGCCCCCCCCCCCCCACCCCCACCCCCACCATCGGCATTTTGCCCCCACCCCGGCTCTCTGGAGTTCCGTTCCCAGAGTCCCTCCAACCCGCTTCCTCCCGCGCTCCCGCCCCCCCCCCCCACCCCCTTCAAGGCACGTCGAGAAGACCCAACTCTTTGACCGGTCGTCTTATTTGCCCTTCCCCATCCCCCTCCCACCCCAACGCCCCCCCCCCCCCCCCGACACCCTCGGAGACAGCACTTTTGAGACGTCCCTTCCCGAACGCGAGGGAGGACGCTGCGCGAATGTCAAGTTACCTTTTACGGAAGGGGAACCCCGGAAAGTATTCGCTCGTGCGGCCTCGCGGGCGTCGCTCAAACGGGGCACTCGCGGCCCCCCACCCCCACCCACCCTTCCCCCCCCACCCCCCCGCCACCTCCTCCCCAACCGCAGCCGACCGGTCGGACCACCCTGCGTGTCGAGAACCGAGGCGGGTTTCGGCGGGACCAGGTGCCCGCTCTGGCGGAGGTCGGGTCCCGGGATATTACCCAAACCCCCACCCCTCCCCCCCACCCACCCCCGGATCTAAAGGAGGCTCTTCGGAAAGGACCGGCGGCCTTTCCCCTTCCCCCGTCCGTCCGTCTCCGTCCCTCCCTCGGGAGCCCACCCCCCCCACACACACTCCCCGCACGTCCGGCCCTCCTCGGAGCCACCCCCCCACACACACTCCCCGCACGTCCGGCCCTCCCTCGGAGCCCACCCCCCCCCCTCCCCACACACACTCCCCGCACGTCCGGCCCTCTCGCTCGCCTTTTCCTCCGATTCCCTTCGCCCCCGCAGACCTTTCCTCTTCGACCGGGCCCTACGGTCACCTCACATCCCCCCTCCCCCCTCCCCCGGGGCTCACCGTCTTGCTCCGCCGTTGTCAAGCGCTGCGGGACAGTACCCTGCCCGGGTGGGGGGGGTGTGGGGGGGTCGCTATATAAATGCAAGTTGTTGTTGTCGATGATAATAATAATAATAATAATCGGCGGCGGGAGAATGCGCTCCGTCCCCCGCGAACCCACGTCTCTCCCCCCATCGCTCCCTCCCTCTGGACTAACGGCTCGCGGCGGCACAGCGCGCGCCACCGCCAACCGCCAACTGCCTGAGGGGAGGAGGGAGGGGGGGACGGGGCGAGAGGGGGAGGGGCCACGGCGTGAGTGACAGGTCGCCTGGCCACTCACCAGACAGGACGACGACCGAGCCTCCGCCCCCGTTAGGAAACCGGACCAATCAGAAGCGGCGGGGTGGGGAGAGGGGGGGGGCGGGACTTCCTCCGCTCTGAGGTGAGTGAGTGAGTGAGAAGGAGAGAGAGGAATGGCGGCTGTTTGAATTGCCCAACTGTCAACCCGCGAAGGGCTTTGGCTGTCCGCAGCGCTCGCTGCCCGGTGGAAGGAACTGCCGGGGCTTTCCGCTGAGAGAAGGGGGAGGCGGGGAGGGTCGAGGTGACGAATTCAAACGTAAACAGCCGCCTCCGCGGGCTCATGGCCTCCTTGTCCTGCACCTCCGAGACCTGGGCTTAAAGGGGGTAAACGTCTTCGTGGTCTGATCGCCCCTCTCCCCCCCCCCCCCCCCCCCCCCCACACTCCCCCCCCCCTAGGAGATGCCCGTGGGGTACAAGCGAGACAGGAACCCAAAGGCCAAAGCCGGCAGGACGGGCAAGGTAAGGGACTGGAATAATAATAGCAATCACAATAATAATAATAATAATAATCCTTGCATTTGATGGAGCGTCTCATCGCGTCTTCTACCGGGACGTCTCAAAGCGCTTTCGCGGGACACACCGCAGCGCGCAGTGACCGTGTGTTTCGCGGGCGCAGCGCGAGCGCTTCGCAAGTGTCCCGCGAACGAACGGTCGTGGACTGAGCGCCCAAATTGGGATTGTAGTTTTTTTTTCTTTCCTGGGTACCCCGCGCCGCGCCGTGAACCGACTGCGGACTGGGGTGGGTGGGCGAGGAATTCTCTGCGGGGTGGGTGGGGGGGAATGATTGGACTGGATTGATTCTGCCCGTCGTCTGCAGCGGTTACCGGGATGGTGGGAGTCATCGAATGGGCTGCAGATTGCCGCTGTAAGGCTTGTTTAAAACTCTGTCCGAAACTCTTGTCTGTCCAGCGCCTTGGGACGTCCTCCCGACGTGAAAGGCGCTATACAAATGTCATTTCGTTGTTGCTTCACTTAAATACAAATCATCGTCCTTCAAGTGAACCGAACCGTACCGGTCAGTCACACTGAGGTGAACAACACTCACTACCCTCGTTTGTACGTGGATTTTCGTTGTTGCACTTAAAACACTCATTTGAATTGCGTGAAAACGGTATGGAGGAAGTTCAAGGGATTACACGTGGTAATTTTGGTCGCTTTTTGAAGAGTTTTTTGAGTTTTATGCAAGTACGATAATTCCCATTTCCTTGCCAGGTATTCTCTTCAGGAAGGTTAGTAGGTTCTTCCAAACCGTGGAATGGAAAACAGAGGTAAGGTCCTAAAATTATGACTGTGTTTTTATTCAGTGCCAATCGCTTATAATTCGGATTCTCATCGTTCAGCATTTCTTTCTATTTCTGGGAATAAATCCAATTTGTTCCTCATTGCTTAAGGTGAATTATGATGTACTACACTAGGTGGCAGTCAAACTCCATAACGTGACCACTCTATTAAATAAATGATGTATGGTAGTGTTAAGTTATCTTTATCTATTCCTTTGATTTTTCAGGCCACGTTTTGCACAGTACGTCTTTTGGCTTGGCAGTATTGTTTCTCCCCTTAACGTGTATGCTTAAATTACTTTTATAGCAGCCTACGTTATCGTCATCAATGTCGTGCCAATATTTACACACAGTAGTAATTCCTGGTACTTCTTCCTGACATTTAAAAAAAAATGATTCTGTGTTTCAGTATTACCCCTGAAGAAAAATGTTATCCCCAATTCTTTGTACTTCTGTATAGCAAATGCATTTGATATAGTTTTGTTGCCTTAAGCATTCTATATTTTCACAAACTTAATTGCTAATCTGTTTTCTCCATGTATTTGTTTGCAGACCATATGCTCACAACAACAGGTAAAGACAAACTACTGTTTTATGTAAAAAAAAAGTATAAATATTCTCTTCCATCATCTCACTACACCATTTGAAAGATTATGAGTAATTAGGTTATTTTCCCAGGGAATATATCTTATCCCCTAAAATTAGGAAACTCATCATTTGTGTCTCCTGACATATAACAATATGCCACAGAAGGCTATGTGGTGGTGCATATTCTGGAACTATTTTTTGATTGTCATATTAACCTTAATGTTATAGAGAGTTGTATTATAGATTTACTGGTGTCTGTCAGTTATCATTTGCTCCCATTATTTTTGACAATTGTTGAATTTTAATGTGCATTTGTAATGTGACACCCACTTGATCGTGTCTCCACCCTCAACTCCAGAATTATTGGTGCTCTAACAGATGCCTTTCAGTCATGGATGAGCTGTACCTTTCCCAACACAGTATTGACAAACTGAGGTTGTCCTGTTTAGCCCATGTTAGTGCCTCAATACCTCAAGCTCTAACTATAAATAAAGCCCTTAATGTGTCCATTGAAGTGAAAATTTCACATTGAATTAAACGTATGCAAATGATTTACCCTATGATGTTCGTTCAGTAAAGATTTCCCATGTTCATTTTCCCTATTTTATCTAGGACTGCAAGTGGAAAAGCTTCAACATCATCTGTGGAGTCTGGTTACTCTCTGTATTCCACTGATTCTGAGGATCAGGTACAGCTCTTTTTAGGATTTGAATGTACTTCTAGTTTTATTTATGCTATGTTGCATATGAATGCTGAATATAGTAAGATATGTTATTGATATCTTAAACATGCTATAATCTATCTCAACCATATTTTTAAATCCCGCCCATAGGTTACCTATATTCATAAAGGTCTTGACCGATGTGCAGCTTTATTGCAGGATATCTTGCAAAATGATACCGCAAGTAAATGCAAAATTATTTTTTTTCACTTGGCTAGAATGTTTTGAAGAAATTAGTTATGGTGGAATTATTTTGTAGCTATCCGTGTAAGTAGCTTAACAGTAGTACAAAACTTAGCAGTTTGTATTTACAGACAGGTCTTTCTTCAACTACAAAACAGAAAGCTGGCGCAAATTAATTGATTCAACTAATTCATGTTTACCTTTGACATTAGCTGGAAAATGAGCATGTCTGTCCTGTTAGTCTTTATGCTCTCACTTCTGTAAGGAATTTTCAAAATATAACTTGAAAAGAATGAGAGGGAGTACTTTATTTAAAAAAAGTAATTAACTTCATGGCTGTTTGTGGAACACTGCGGTGTGCAAATTGCTTGCCATTTTTGCCTACGTAAATGGATTCACTACACTATACAAAACTGAAGCACTGTGAGACTTGTTGATGTGATAAGATGCTATATGGAAGGCCAGGATTATTGTTATATAAAAAAATCGAATTGACTTTCCAGAGGGCATTTTCTAAGTTGGAAATGTGGCTTACTAACCTTGTTTTCTACCAACCACCGTTAGATTTGAAGACTGCTACTCTAAATCCAGGAAATGTTACAAAATCCAAAGGAATACTTAGCAAAGGAGAAAGTACTAAAAGGAAGGAATTTAAGAAGAATGGCCCTGTTCCACGTACCTCACATGTACAAAAACAGATTGGTAAGTTATAGAAAGAGCAAATGGTGATCTGGTAATAAACTAGAGATGTGGTACAAGTGGTGCTTTATATTGGTGGAGGTATTATAGGAACTTGCAAATGCAAATTGGTCATGAAATTTCTACTGTTGATCTGATGTATGTGTATTTATGTAGCTTTTCACTACATACAATAGCATGTAACTGTATTGTGAGCCTATTAATGTACAATATAAATGTTTGATGAGCCTCTTAATTAGAAGTGTATTACAAACATTAGGAATTTTATTTCACGCAGTGCTGTGATGCGAGCTATCACCATGATGCAAAGCAAACTTTACTAAGAGTTTCAAATGTATTTGTTCTGTTAGTCTCAGTATCGGAGTTCAAGGTGCTCCCTGGTGCAGCTGAACCAGTTGTGAACAACAATGGAGCTGAATTGACAATGCTGCAGGTCGCAGTTCCATCCAACAAGCACGTGTCTGTAATGAATCAGCCTGTCTCTGGTGAAGTGCAGACACAGATGTCGCTTATTAACAGCCAAGCTGCAAAAAGTGCCTCTAATGGAATACCAATGCAGTCTTACTATGCAGTCATGGAATCGGGTAAGAAATTACCTCCTGAGTTTTATTTGTGGTTGCAAGAGACCTATCATCATTCTATTGGAATGGTTGGGAGTCTTATAAGATGGGGATTGCATGTGCACGTAAGATCCAATCATGATTCATTGTTAATGCTTTTTATTAGGTTGTCAAGATGCTCCAAAGTTTAATTCTCGACTTCCGACCTCCACTCCAGCTTTGTCTCCTCAGAATGCTGGCCAACCATTGGTAATCCAATCTGTAAGTATACTCACAAGGTCACCAGATGGGACGAAAAAGGCTTTTTGGCCCATTGGATCTCATCCTTCAAAAACACCCACTCATCCTAGTTTCGTCCCATCATAGCATCAAGCTGCTTTTTAAATTTAAAAAGTATAGGCACTCTTTTACAAATGTGTAGTTCAAAATGTGACTGTTTTTGAGATTTAATTAATGTGAAAAACAGTGATTTAAATAAATTAATTTAAATTTCAAAATCTTTTTATACCCAAGCAACCAAGATATTGCATTGAAAAGTTTAGCTCCCTCCCCACCCCCACACTTAGTAAAGCTAATTATTTTGAAGCCTAGACACGGGGCCTTTAACTCACAACCTTGTGACTCTGAGGCGAGAATGCTATCTCCTGAGCCAGACTGGCATCATTGGAAGAAACAAATGGAAAATGATATGGTGTCATGTTTCAACATCTGTTTTCCATTAATCAATTTGTCAGCCAAAATGTTAATGTTCCGTGAGCAAACGCATGCTGCTGATGAATTATAGACTTAAGCTAAACAGGTGTAATTTCTTAACGGCCACTGTTACAAGTAACTAGGATTTTTTTCAGAACGGTCTTTAGGGAGAAGTGTTCCATGAAACGTTTAATTCAACATTGGAGAGAGCACATTTTGAGAGTTGCTAGATTCATAAACCATCTTTTTTTAATTTTTAACAGGCCATGCCTCATGATCTTTACAACCAAACTTCATCACAGGGAGGAATGAACTTTTTTCCAATTTATACAACTACAGCCCCTGCAATCCAACCTGTGATGACTTTTGCTCCATCTGGAATCCCTCATACAAGTCTACATACTGTGGCTATGCCTACCTTAATTCAGCCTCTAAGTGGTGGCGATGGAGTTGGTACCTTGATTAACTACGGTGAACAGTGCCTAAAAGAACGAGACCCATTGAAGTGCATTCAACATCAAGTCACCAAGATGCAAAATCCCGAGGTAGAACTCCAGCAGAAAGCTTGGCAAACACAGGCACGGGTCCAGGAGTCATCTGAGTCAGACGAAGAGGGCTGTGATGGGACTACGACTGAAGAAGATGACTTAAATTCAGTAGATATAACACCAGTAAGAGACACGAGCTGTCAAACCAGCTTTGACAGACACTTGCAACTGAAAACGAGAAGTCCTGATAAAACAGCAAAGAAAGTGAGAACTGTGAAAAATCTTCTCAGTGAACTGAAAACACGGGTTTCTGATAAAGGTAGTTGTAATGATTTGCTTCAACTCATATTTGCATATCTGACATTGCAATTTAGCTCAATCCAGTATTGTTTATTCAAATCAATAGAAATAAATGTATTTCATCTTTTTTATCTCTGTAATTTTGAGTATGAAACCAAATTTCTATGGTGACTCGATGACCCACATGTTAGCCTTTTTTGTCATAAACATCCCCCCCCATAGAAATAATCGGTGATATCATCTTCACAAAAATAATAAAACAAAATCAATTTCCACCAACCCTACATATTAGGGATGAGGCAAGTGATTTCAAATCAATGACATTTACAGAAAAATCAAAAACAAGGCTTCAGCAGCAATCCATTTGGTGCAAATCTGAGACTGTTCTAACACAAATGGTCTTCAAAATGCCTGAAATCAATGCTTGAGGATTTCTTGTTTGAAAATATTTGTGTTAATTTGCACATATTAATTCATTTAATGTCTTCTCATTGAACCCTGTTTTATTTATTCAATATTGGATAAACAAGAGGCTTTTACAACTGAATTTATGATTTGTTATATGTCACATTGGTAATAAAGTGTATATGAGAAATGCATTTTGATGTGATTTGTTGAGCATCAGTGTCTTTTTACTGGCAGATGACTCTGAGATTATCAGGTTGATAATGGAGCTGGACGAAAGTGTCTCTCTCTTGCCAACCGGGGTTGGAAGCACAAACGTACAAGCAGAAATAGCTATCGGTCTTCAGTCTCTGCGTAGTGAGAATGCACAACTGCGCAGGTCAGTAATACTGTGAGGTTAAAGTTGCCGTAATTCTTAACAAAATAAAATTGAATTTAATGAAATAGAATTTCTGATTTTTGTCTGAATCTTGGATAATTTTGATTTGTCTTACAGCCACTGTTTTTCATTTCTTTTCAAGTAATGTTTTCTTTTAATCTTCACAGGCGGTTAAGGATAGTAAACCAGCAGCTTCGAGAGCGAGAAAGAGCTGAGAAAGAATCTAGGATCACGGACTGCAACTTTGAACGTAATATGGCCTTTTCAGGATAACAAATTGATCTATTGAAGCTCTTGTTGGGGAATATTTACAAATTCCTATTTTTAAAAAAAAGTTCTGATACTGCTTTTCATTTTTAAACTAACTTTTTAAAGTAAAACAAAAGTATCAGGATGTCTGTAATTTACATCAAGTGTTTGTCTGTTATCTTGATATTCTTTTGTTCTGATTACACAATTGATGTGTACCCACAAGTATTTTTTCATACCTCCTGTAGTGATCTCTTTGCAGTGCATGAATACTACACTGCAGACACAGCTTAAAGAGTCTCAGAAAGGACTTGAGTCACTGCAGAGAAAGAATGAAGAGCTTCTGAGTGTAATAGATGAACAGAGTAAAGGGAATAAACAGCTACTGCAACAAATGCAAGAGAAAGAACAGGATCTGTTCCACAATAGACAGCAATGTGAGAGGGACACAACTCGGGTCAAAATGGGTAGGTTAGGTATTTTGTTTAGAGAAAAATTGTTTTTTTATTTAAGCTTGAAAAAAATTCTTACAGATGTGTTTTTACAGAACATATTTACATATTTACAGAAGTCGATGAAGCTTTGGCAAAATGAGGAGTCTTCAACTGAAACTGGAGGCTTCTGAGAAAGAGAATCAGATCGTAGGAATAACACTACGACAGCGTGATATGGAAGTGAGCCGGTTACGAGATCTCACCAGGTACTGCAGAGAGCTTTATTGGATGCTCTAAAACTGAATTGTGCTTTTATATGAATATCTTATCTATGATATGTAGCTGCAGTTACATTGTGCCACTAACTCATTTTATTAGCATTTGCTATTAATTCTTGGATGCACTGAAGATTAGAAGATTGAACAGATCAAAGATTGTCTTTGTTGCTGGAGAGAAGCAAAATTTATATTCTTTTGTTTTTAGATTAGGAAATACTTTTTCCTCCTTTTGTTAGAAAAGGCAATAACCGCTTGAGTAACTGATGCTATTCACTTATTTTGAGCCGATTATAAAACTAGACATTCAATTTTTTGGCAATTGCAGTCAGAAACATTTTTAAAACTTCTTTCTAAATTTCTAATGCCTAAAATTATATAATATAAAATATATATATTCCTGTCGTTTGTATTTTTCCCCCCATATTTTTTGCATCAATGCTACATTTTTATACATGAAGCTGTGGTTGTAATTAGTATAGGTATTGTCATTGGCATCTAATTTAGTCTAATCAAACAATATTATTTCTACATTGTATATTGACAAAAGTAATGAGTAGAATAAATACATTCCAAAATCATTTACAGAGGAAATATATGGTTCCAAGAAACTGCATTACTTTATAACTGTACCATTGACTACTAGATGGCATTTGAAGTGTGAAAATGTCACTGACATCCAAATAAGCATTCCCCTTGACTCTCAATAGATATCTTTGTAAAGTTCATATTCTTGGGAAAATCTCCAAGTTTATATTTCTTTTAACCTAGAGCAACAGTTTCTATTATGACAGTAAGGGTTCCTGTGAGGGAGGTGCTATACCTTGAGGTAAAAATATACACTCTTAATGGCTCAGACTCGGCAAGAGCGACAGGCCTGGCCTCTTAATGACTACAGACCTCAGTGCACACATCCTGTTGGCCTTCATGGTGTAGGTATGGATCTTCACTAATTTCCCTCTTTCTTTCCCCTTCTCGTCAAACCAAAACAGAGCTACTTTTCTTTCTCATAATATTCAGTCTAATAACCCTACAAGAACTAATAACCTGAACCTTTCAGGGTGACCTTTGTGTCTGTCTGCAACTTAAAATCAACTGAATTTGTAATTCAGCATTTGACAATAAGAGGTTACTTGGCTGTATTTTGAAAAGGCAATTGACTTAATCAGTGTAGGTACGGAGGATAACCATTAAGATATAGGTTGGCAATCTTTATGAATTGGCTGCTGTTGTGCTGTATTATTTACTTTGTACAATCAGCTGGATGAATTATTTTGATAAGCTGTTGCTTGCATTTAATCTATGGCCTTACTTGTTTAACAGAACCCTGCAATGCAGCATGGCAAGACTCGTCTCTGATCTCAGTATAGACTGTACGAAAGCCAAACCTGAAACCAGACTGACCAGAAATCTTCTTGAGGAATATAACCATCAGCTAGAAGAGGAACCAATCATGGATAAAGGCATAAACTCGGTTGCCATGTATCTTAAAAATCTGGACATTGATAAAGCCTGTGCAATAAGAACAATATTACAATCAGGTGAAAGACAAGAGTCTGAGCCAACTGTTCCTGTTCAAACATTTACAACTATTCCAATGTACTCAACCAATAATGCACTTCCCAAAGCTTTTGGAAGGCAACTTAATTTTCCCAGCCCTAAAAAACTGTAAGTGATGGCAGTACTTTAGTGGGTGAGGAATCTAATCTGGATGAAACTACTTATATTCCATTGGTTGGCAACGTTTCCAAAATACAAAACAAACTATTTGAACAAAGGAATTGTATACCACCTCAGTCAAGCAGAGATTCAAAAAGATTCAACATCGACAATGAAAGTTCTGATGCAAACTTGTATAACAGAGCAGGAGCGATGCCCTCTACATGGGAACTGCCAGAAAAAGCAGTCGATGAACAGTTACCTGTTTTGTGTAAATTACAGGAAATTGCTGCAACGGATTGCTCATCGAGAATATTTTTCAGAGCGACTGTGCCAGAAAATGACCTGATTCAGATGAAGCCTTCCGACATAACTGCTGTTGATTTTACAGATAATGCATCTAACCTTCCTAAACTAAATGCACATCAACATACTTCTTTGCCACATGAAAGAAACGGGCTGTTGTTGAATAAAAGCAGGGTTTCGGCAGTGGATTCAAGCTTTTCAACCTTTGACTCCAGGTCTGTGAAGTCTGACTGGACCATGTCATCTGTTTCTTCATTTAGTTCTCGTGATGAGCAGGCATTCCAAAATGGTTTAGCCGCCCTTGATGCTAACATTGCCAGACTGCAAAGAAGTTTACGGACAGACTTCTTGAGATGAATTGACTGAAAATGTTCAAAACTAAGTTGTTTTTTTTTAAAAGGATGGGCACATTACTGGACTTTGTTTTAATTGATCATTAGAAGTGTGATTTGATGTTTTTAATATTTTTTTTACACTTTTTATCAGTATTTTTGCATTATTGTAATTGTGGCCAATGCATTTTAGTTTTTATGTAACTACCAATTTAATTTCAGAAAATAAAGGCTGACGTTTCTTTTTCTAATGTTTGCATAAATTGAATGCTTCTAAAATTGTAGCTCTTCTGTAAGATCCAATACGACATTTAACTATTGGGATCTATCACATTTCTTAAAAATAGCATCTTTTTTTAAACAAGCAATCGAAATTACACCCAATTTATTGATCAGCCCATGATGAATCCCATAGTTAATTATCCAGATAATCCTAGGATTGGAGCAAAGGCAAGGATAGGAACCTACAATATTGAATGCATAAAAAAACAGAAATATTTGTACTTCTGGAAACAACAGATTTTTTTTCTAATTTGTTTTCTATGTTTGAGAGACTTAAACAAACGCTGAATGAAACAAGTGCATTTTATAAACAAAACTTTTTGTGTAATTGCTAAACATAGGTCTAAATATAATGTTCCAATATGACCCTTTAAAAAAAAATTACAATTAACGAAATCTAGTATACATTTGTGAGTCTGTTGCAAATGTGCCATAAACACCCAGAAATTGCATGCTTTCTCCACTATTTGGGTTGACGGACCGATAAAGAATAGGTGCACTTTCAGGACTAGTGTAAAATATGTTTTGCTACCCTTGATATGATTACTCTAGCAATTGCTTTGTGTGGTCTTGCTTAGCAGACTTAAATAATTTCTGTGACTAAGAAATGCTACATTTCAATTACTTAGCAATTTATATCCAAGCTCGTTGAAGCCAAATTAACTGTTATGCCTGGAGGGAATTCCAGTCAAGCTCACTATGTCAACTGAATAACTGTACTCACGACTTGACTAAAATTCCAGAGAAATCTGTTCATACACCCTGTTACAGATCAATGCAAAAAATGAATGCAACATATGGTTGCATTTTGATTCATTCAGAAAAGAGTCAGAAAGAAGTCTGGTTCCGTCGGGAATAAAAAAGGGTTCTGGGGAAGAGAGCAATGTCGATTCATTTGATTCTGGTCTCTTGATTAGACTGCAAAATTGAACCAAACTTAACAGCTTTTGACAAGTAAAGCATACTTCCGCCTCCAAAGTGGATAGTGAGAACTGGAAGGAGGAAATGAAGAACAAAGTTGTTAAAAATAAATGTGCAGTACGTTCTCTTGTTTTCATAACCTCCTGGACTGGGTGCCCTGGAATTCACCTGACTATAACCTGGGGACTGACTACATGTGTTACCGTAATATGTTAGTTTGGTCAGCAACTGGATATGTAACTTCCACCAATTGTTCCGTTCTGTGAATTAACCCTTTCACTTTCACTCAATGCTGGTGTCAGACAAGCGTTGTTGGGAGAATAAAGGAATTAATATTGACCATCCAAAAAAAGATGCTTGGCAACATCTGAACTATTGTAAATGGAGCACATTGCTTGACTTAATAATAATAATCATCCTTGCATTTGGTATAGCACCTTATCACGTCGTCGAGACGGCTCAAGCGAATCACAGAAGATATAAAGTTGATTGTATTTTGTTTTATATTTATACTGAATTGAAAACAATAATTTAGGAGATCAAAATGGCAATGGCTATGTGTGTACCGGAACTGTCAATAATGAGAGTATCTTTGGTTGAACGGATGCAGAATTTTTTCCATTAAATTATGGCCAATATCATTTTAACAGTACCCTGAATTGGAGCCTATTTTCACGCAGAAATTTCCAGCTGTAAGACAAAAATTCTTGACTAGAACCACTTTAAGTGAAGAAAATTCATCTTGAAGTATTGAACGTTTTTTGAAAGATGTATATATGTGTGCAATTAGCTCTCGTTTTAATTTACAAGTTTCAGCTGTAGAAAATATGCTGTTATTTCCTGAAGAAGAAAGGAAACCTGTCACACTGGCACATTCCACTGAACTAAAGCAGTTTTTTTTNAAGAGAACCCACAAAGAATTCTTTCACATTAAAACAGTGATGGATTACCTAGATAATTTATAGTACAACTGTAACCTATTAATCAATGAAAGTACATCCTATACACACACACACACACAAGTGATGGTACCTGATCTCAGTCTCCAAAAATTTGGAAACCGCTCAAAAAGGGGAATGATTTGAAAAAACAAATGGGTTAGCAAAGCAGGAAAAATAACAAAAGAAAAAGCCAGCACAACATTAAAATGGAAAATGGGACTCACTCCCAGCAATGTCTAGACAGCAAAGGAAACACCTGGAGAAAATGAATATTAAAGGGTTAGAGAATGAAGATTCAAAGAAAACAGCCAATTTAGATTATAAAATACTAAAAGGCTAAGTCAATAGTCAGAATAGTGTTCCTAAAGTTTAAAATTGACAGTGCTGCTTAGAAATAGATGATATTGACACTAATACAATGATGCACATCTTTGGCCATCATCATTAATTGTAATTGTGGAACACTTTGAAGATGTCATCTAATACAATAGATTTATGCAATCCACCTTTCAAATCACCAAAACTATTTGTAGCATTTGTGTTTTCATTTTCACTGTTGTGCGTGCTGTTCTTCCAGTTAAAACAATGCAACTATCTCTCTTCCCCCTCTATGTTCTCCTGTCATCTCTTGCGCAGACCATCTCATAACAGCTCCATGAACTCTAGCCTTCCTCCAGCAATTTACCCAAGTAAATGACATGATGTGACTCTAGAGAGTTAGGGTCGACAGTCCATTCCTCTCGGAGAGTAATCTCAGTTGCTGAATCCTGATCTCATCCACCAACCGCACATATACTTCTGGGAGGAAGGGTCACTGGATATCAGTAGCTTTGGCTACCAAACAGCATTGCCCCACCATTACCGTGGGTGAGATTATTTAGCTGAACACAGAATGGAAACAAATTCAGGCAGAGTTTCTGTTCCACAACGCAGTCCAGTGAATGCTGCTGGAAAACGTACAAGTTGGATGTTAGCTGAGGACAAGAATGGGCTCAGTTAAGGCTGATTATCTTCTTGATGCTCCCTGTCTGGGAATCGCATGTGAGGAATGACAATTTAGTTGCGCTGCCTAAGGTCGTACACCAATGCCTGAGAGAGAGAAAACTAAATGCTTTGCGGTGCCATTGTAACAAAAACTGAACTGTCTTCTGAACAAGAGGTTCCTTCCACACCAGCCAACAATGACAGAACACCTGGAACATTTTGTGCAGAACTATTGATTTACAATGAGGCACAATTCCACGTCATCCTATCCTGTTGCGCAGGATCTGCAATGACCACACATCAGAATCCTGTAGCTCAGTGGTTAGAGCACTCGCCTCACAAGCGAGAAACCTGGGTTCGATTCCGGGCAGTGAAGGCGAAGCCTTGGGTAAGTTTCCTTACTCCACACGCCTGATAATAATCCCTCAAGAAAAAAAATACAACACAAAATACAATAATAAATTGGTCACTTCAATCCATTGCTGCCGCGTTTTGCCCACAAATATATCCAGTCAATTCACTTTACGGTCTATTCTGTGAAGCGCTTTGAGACGTCTTAGAAGACGTGATAAGGTGCTATGTCAAACGCAAGGATTATTATTGTTATTATTACCAGAAAACTCACACCCCAATTACAAGCATATCATTTAATCCATAGTGTGCAACTTCCACATTCCACTAGGTTACAGATCAAAAAAGTAGATAATTTTTTACTTGCATTACTTAATCATTGTATAAGTTTTGTATAAGTAAATCAGTACATGAGTTCATGTGATACAACCTTTGAGCAGAGGTGGACCCATATGAGCTCATGTGTTACGCAGTCATTTCCTGATGTCTAACTGAAATTTCACCTAAACCTGTGTCCTCTTCTGCTCTCTTGGTGTACATTCAAAAGTATTGTTCTGGGTTCACTTTCTCAATCACATTTAAAATCTGTATATACAAGTGATGTGCATTCAGTTTGAGGTACCGAGAGCAAGAGAATTGCAAAGTCCAGCTCTGCCCTCATTTCAGGTTATTTCACCAAAAGCCAATAATTTCTTCCAGAAAGAAACATCTTAAAAAGCAGACGTTTACTTTGATGAACATAAAATATGAAATGCATTCAAATTTGAAAGATGTCAATGTTGAAGAATAGGAGTACAGTAGTTTCTACTTTTGAATGAAACCAAATGTAACGTGATATGATTTTCAAGTGCTCTAAAAAGATTTATTGGGGTTTAAAATTACAGAACTGAAATCAACTCTTGTAACGGGTTTTGTCAGCTCTTTCCTAATCTTGAGTGGAGTGTCGCACTTTCCCCAAACAGAATCTCCTATCAAAGAGCTGAATATTCACACAATAAAGTCCTGGTCTAAACCATTGAGAGATTCCTAGTTGACGGGTCAATGGTTGAAAGAGACCATCTTTTAATTAATCAATTAAAATCTAAAATTATAAGCCAAATAATGCGAAAGATTAGTCCTAGGATTTGTTTAAAAAAATCATTATTTAGAAATAGCGTTTAAAAGGTTACTGTACCCCAAATGAGGTCATAAAAAAAGTATTATCTGGATCCACAGACAGCTTTCGAACCGATCTTTTCTCTTGGATTGGAGTCAGGCATCAAGCATAAAGCATCTTGACAAATTAGTTATTCACTTGTCCTGATCCCCCAATGTTTTCTTGCAGGTTTCTTTTAAGTTTTCAGAAAAAATGAACATTATATTGCCCATGTCAGCAGGAATTAGCATTTTAGATAGTCTGATTTTTCAGAGACTGTATTTGTGCCAAATTTGGTTGACTGAACACAAGATGATCTCGGCCACAGAAATGTGTCTGGAATGTGAGTAGGGGTGATAAAAACAGATCTCAACTTCCTTAAAGAAATAAATGTCTAAAAATGGCAAAAACGTTCTACTTGATAGCAAAACGTTTCTTCTGCTCATTCTTTTTTAACCTCTTAGGTCAGTAGGAAAGGGAAAATATCACTGGAATGCTTTAATGTTTGAAAACAGAAATGCTTGGTACTAAAACCCATTTATTCCACTGAAGGCATTCCAACATCTGTATTGGCTGTAAATACTAATTGACATATTAATCTGGCAAAGAACTCCTTCATTTATGAACTCATTTGTAATTATTACTCAATTTGATATTAAGTAATGCATTGTTTCAATGTTTCCTACAAAGTCTCATATTAGTTATTTAGATCAAATTCCTTACTCATTTGACTCAGAATTTTTTTTACTCTAAATTATTATATTGTAAAACAATACTGGAGAGCCATTTTAAAATTCCATGATACTTTGAGTAATTTTTAAATAAAATTCACAATAAATTTCCATTGAAAATAGAACTTAAATCACAGTTCACTCATAGGAATGCTTCCCACAAATGGTTGTTAAAGCTGAGTCTGTAACAGCATTTAAAATAGAATTATCTATACTTGGTAATATTAAATTCCTGTGTGGAATTGGCTGTGCCCAATTGGCTGCCGTGTTTCACCCACAAAAGATACAGTCAATTCACTTTTAAGTATATTCTGTAAAGGGCTTTGATATATCTGCAAGGCATGATAAGGCGCTGTATTAAATGCATGGATTAGTATTAAAGGGTCTGGGAAATGATCAGGGGAATGGGATTTGAACTACTTAGCTTCATTGAGCACCAGCATAGAATGGCCTCTGTGTTTTAAGGTACATACATGCAAATTGTTGAGGAAATGGGCCTTCTCAATTCCAATTTAGTGTTAAAAATAAAGTAACATTCTTCAATCAAGTCAAAAGTTGCCAGGTGAATGTTTATTGATTCTTCAGGTATCCAGTTCTACATGAAATTTAATTAACAAAACATTTATGCCACTAGTAATCTGGTATATAATTCTCTCGGAGGATCTTTATATACGAGCAGGAAACCACAATCCCAATTACCTAAAGGAGAAGAAAATAATATTTTAATGCATTTAAGCATTAGATGCTAACTTGTTGCATTTGATTATGCGTGTTTCACATCATGAGAACATCTCAAAATGATTTACATGATTAACATTAATGTTTTGTTATATTATCAACACCATATCTTTCTACATAGTTTTGCCGTTACCTGTGCAAACACAAAGCCAACACCAACTCCTCCAATAGTTGAAATATGGTCTTCAATCCACAATGACATTACCCCAGGACAGCCCTGTACACAACCACACGCAATACAGCTATTAGCATGAGAAAGCACTCTGAGACACCACCCTGCGTGCAGGGCACTTTGTCAGTGCAAGTTGTTGTATTGCAATAATTTATTCTCTCGTCTTCTTTCCAATTGTTCTGCCACTTTCAAGGACTTGTGTATCTGCACTCCCAAACCACTTTGCTCCTCGCAAGATACTGCCATTCAATATGTACTCTTCATTTTTTCTGCCAAAATGAATCACATTGTGATTCATTTCCACTCATCTGCCCATTATGTTAATCGATTTGTGTTTATTTACATTCTTCATCTGTGAGCTGCCACAGTCTATTCCCCCATTGGTTTCCTTAATTAATATCCTTGTGCACATATTTCCAGCCGGTATCAATGGAAAGCAATTAGAAACAGATACCCTGACTGAGCGATTGCCCCATCTCTAACAAGGGGTCACTGAATCCAATCACTGCCCTAATGAGCTAACTCAGCCTAGAAAGGGGTGAATTCAAACCAGCAACTTTCTGGTGGTCATAGTTTAAAGCTACGATAGTCAAAACCTAACCCACGAGGCCACCAAAGGAGTTTGAATTAGCATTTCTTTATTCCTGGCTCCGAGATGATTGAGCTAATCTTTCAATTACCTTCAACCACCGATACAATTTGCATCAGTGTGTAGTCAATCTTACCAGAGTATTGATAGTTGTTGTTTGGGATGAAGTATTTCTTCCACTCATCTCTGTGATGCGAATGTAACAGCTTGATGGAACAACCTGCCCAAACATGGTCTTGAGCCAGTCTGTGTAATTGTTGGCACCACAACAGTGGAACTATGAAAACATTCAAAGAGAGAACACATACTTTCGAGGAGATTAACAATCATTTTACTGAGTAACAAAGCCACTAGAGAAACAAACATTCAGAAAGCGACACTGTATGCAATAACCTTCACATTTAAATTGCAAACTGATTCCAATGGTGCAAGTTAAAGTTCAAAAGCACCATCAAGATTCTGTCGTTAATAGTCATTGTTGGGCAAGTTACATTTTCTTTGAATAGTTGGAGACATCATCACGTTCTGAAATTAACACAAATTCAGGAGAACAGCGATAAGCAAGGAAGGTGAAAGGTAAAAGAACATAAGCTAGACAAACAGCGGTAAATCAAACGAAAGAGCAGTAATATGGTAGCAAAACTTTAGATGCGAGATTCCTCAATACAGATGTCAAATAATAAATAAAGATTGGAAATTTTAAATCATAGAGAATACATAAAAAAACGCAAGCGGTCAAGAAAGGTTAATGTTTCAGGTGTGGATTATCAGTAGCACAAAATAGTGAAAAGAAAACTTCACAAGATTAGCACATCTGCATCTTGTAGGAATGATAAAATAAACGTGCATAATATAATTTTGCAGCAGTTTTGCATTCACATCTTGCAAGTTAGACTTCACTTAATATAGAGGCATTCACGGTTGCAATTTCAAATTTGTCAGATTGATGCATCACCCATACGATTGTAAATTGACCTGATTTGCAAACCATCCACCATTGCCCTTAGCTTAGGCTCATTTTCATAAGCCGCCATCGCCTTCTCGAAACCATCAGCTAGGTCCTTGTGTACCTAGAAAATGGGATGGCAGAGACAAACCTGTGATCGCACTATTGTAATTTTTTTTGTAGAAATAGAGGAAAAAAAGGGAATTCAGTAAATCTGAAATAAAAGCAATACTTACTCGACTTCTGAAGACGTAGGCAAGCACCTCAACGGTGATTTCCATAAGCAAAACCAATGTCATCAAAATCAGAAACTACAGAAGAAATTAAATTCCAGTAAAAATTCAGCTTGTGCTACTATACCTGGGACAGTTTCAAACTAGTAAGATTGTTCAACTTAGCCTTCCCATTTGGGCCGCAATAGTAGCTGCAATCAGTATTAAACTATTCCTCTCACTGTCTTTTCTCCAAAATGAAATGAGAGAAAATAGTGAAGAGCAGACTCGCAATCACAGATTGGAACTTTGAAAGTAACTCACTGTGAGCTGCTCGCTAATAATTTTTTTTTTTTAACCGCAGAACTTTAATACCAATAGATTAATACGATACAGGGAACTCCCATCACTCAATAAAATCACATGATGACTGTACGTTTTTGAATCTTCCCTCTTGAATCCTGATAATCAATATCCTAACAGGTAGGGTAACCTGAACTGGGCAAAAAGCAGGAAGCTCACTTGTATTGGCAAGCAGCAGAGTGCAAGTGGTTTCAATTGGAACAGTAACCAACACCACTTCAGACTGCGTAATGCCTTGGCTTCTGGGAACCTGCACCTCTGTTCTTTGGCCTTGGGTAAATGAGCATTTTCCCAGGAAAGACTGTGCACTCTAGCGCTGGCAAACAGAAACCGTGCTTCTCTGAGTTCTCAGTCGCTGGGAGAGGAAACTCTTAACCATGTCAAGGGATTTCTGCATGGCAAACCCCCAAGCTGACAAAAAAAAAGAAATAGAAAACAAAATGCGCACACTAAACATAAACAGCTTCAACCTTATCACTGCACAAACCACAGCGAACTCCCCTAATAACCTAGCTTTGTCCAGTATAGCACCAAGCAACAGAGGGCAGAAGACCACAAGTTCAATCTGCTGTGTGTTGAATTAGGTGACCTGAGATAGAATAATACAGAAGTGAAAAATGCCACTTTACCACTTTCATCATGGTAACGCTTTCCTTCCAAGCAGCAATAATCCCAAAGACAGCCATAAAGAAAACAGCGACTCCAGTGATAGTGAGCACAGCAAGAGCTCCAGAGGTTGATTTACTGACCACTAAAGAGATATCGTGCAGATTCAACTGGATTGAGACACCAATCCCCATAAGGATAATCCCCAGCACCTAAAAAAAATAAGAAAGCTTTATCAAGTTATACACTGGAAGTTAATATAGCATTATTGTAACAAAGGTTAAGCAAATTCATCTTGCCATATTTTATATGGAGTCAACTTTGAACTATTGTTTTATATTAGGGAAAAGAGGAAACAAAGTTTACGGGATGTCTTAAAAAGATAAATTTATGTTCCATCTGGCAAGGCCTTTGAAGTATTATAACTTTAGTGCATCAGTCCATTTTACGCATCCCAGAGTCGACAATGGTCAAATCATTAAAATACTGCAGTTCTGCATTAGTTAAGAGAATTGTTTAAATCTCAAGTTGCATATAGATGAATCTTTCTTAGAATCATGATCCATATGGAGCAAAGGCTTAGATTTCTTCCTTAAGTAGAAGCAAATGTACAATTATTTATATATATGTAATATATTAAGCCAGCACAGCTGTTAATATTTCTTCAGCACAGACATTTGTTTTCTATTAGTTTCCTATTGCTGGAAAAGCATCTGCCTCTTTATTGGAATTGCGATTCCTCTCACCAGTTTCATAAGATGATCGACTAGAGATGGATAGCTTGGTAGCTATAAATCTAAGTCATTGGCTACAAATAAGAGACAAGTTCAGGTTATCTGAAGCTCAAAGTATCCCTTTTGACATTGCTGATCTTGGCCTGATCTGGAAGGGGATGATAATAACAATCTTTGCATTTCATATAGCACCTTTCACACCAGCAGAACGTCTCAAAAGAGTGTAATGAGTAAGTAGCCTGTAGGCAAACACAACATAAAGTGAATGAAAATTTTATCGGGAGGATTTTTAGCCAATATACTGGGGGAAAACTGCCTTCTCTTTTCAAATAGTGCCATGAAATCTTTAACATTCATCTGAACAGGCAGGTGAGACTTCAATTTAACATCTCACTTGAAGGACATCACTTAAACAATGCAATACATCCCCAACCTCAACAATAATTAACATTTATATCTTCAGCGCTATACACTGGAGTGTCAGTTTACACTGTAAGCTCAATGTAGCGCTTGAAGCACCGATGAGGAGCTACAACCTTCCGACTCAGAAGCTATAGAGGATGGGCCAACCCATTTGGTTGGCCAACAAAGTAATTTTTATTGATTTATGCCATAAATCAAATATTCAATCAAGAAAAACCTGTAAACAAAACATTGAATTAAAGAGTTCTCAAGCAAGTCACTTAGCCAAGACATAAATCCATGAGTCAAATCTAAAACTTTGGATGCAAACCAAATGATATCAGTGAATATTAGAGAACATGATAATTAAACTGTAGATTATCACTATCACTAAGAAAATATGAATTTCAGAATCATAATGGCCAATAAATAAAGTGCATTTCTGGAGTGGAGTGGCTTTACAACACAGGAAATTTATGTAAATTTATCCTGAGGCAAAGGGGTGAGAGAGAAAGAGAGAAAATAACTGAAGTTTGGAACCAACAGAATGAAAGGAGGTTTCAGAAAAGAAACACTAAACAGCAGAAAGGACAGAACACCAAAAATATAGCTGTGGAGAAAAATTATTTTGGTGTTGGCTGGTTTGGATTTTTCCAATTAGCACCAAATTAACCAACACAAAACCATTAGAAAATACCAGAGGAGAAAAAAAGACAATTTCAAAATAACTATACAAGTTAATTTCTGCAAGTTGATAGCAAGAACGTGCACTTATATGGTACCCTTCACACAAGGTAGCATCCTGGAGCACTTAAACAAGTTACCAAAAAGTCCCAACTGAACATGAAAAAATGATACTGTATTAACTTATCTCAAGACATGTCATAACTGGATGTTTTTCACCTGAAGCCATAGAAAATGGAGGATTGAATATAATGACAAATACCAAGAAGAGCAGGTTAAAGAGAAACAGGGTGACTTTAAGTGTCACCGCCCCATTTTCCAAATCCATTTTAACACAGACTTGGATGACAAAACCAGGGACATGAATGTTGATGACCGTCATTTCAAATGTTCAACATCCCTGATGAGCTTCCCCTCTTTATAATTCACACTGAGACTGAACTCAATCAAGCCACTAAACACCCTCCACTGCTATCAATGGGAAGGAGACAATTAGAGTTCATTAGATACAGCTCTTGAAGTTAGGGCTGTTCTCATTAGTCAATGCAGAACCAGATCTTGATAGTAATTGATGATGTTTCTGTTTAAAGTTGCCTCATTATAAATAGGGAAACTTTATACCTCATGTCACTTGATGGCTGTAACAAGGGAGTTGAACTGGTAGGTCAGTTTATATTCAGAGAAGGGCACCAGTGGTTATTGATGTGGTTGAGAATAAAACAATCATTGATGAGAGAGATCTTAATAGAGAAGGTAGTGGAGGTGAGGGAGCCTTGTGTTGATGATATGAAGGAGGTAAGGGTAACTCTAAGTATTCTGAAAGTCTGACCTTGGTAAATCAAGGTTGCCTTAGAGGTTTGTGTGCCATTATGGTACAAACTAGCTCTTGATATTCAAGCTTTGCTTTCTTATTTGTATGTACATAATGTAATAGTTATGCTTCTGTTTGCTTGGTAGGCCTTTTTGAGGTTGTACTATGTGTGAAGTTATAACATTTATTTTCACTTGAGAACCAATATTTGCAGTTTCTTTTGAAAAGAATGGAGTCTTCCATTTCTGATAATGCTTTACTTTTCATAGTGGTGATAAGTAAGACATGTATATCTTCAGAAATAAGAAATTATTATGTGTCAGCTAAATTGCTGTTTCTAATCTTGATGTTTGAATTTGCATGAATAGTACTTAATCACCTAATTTTCCTGAGGTTCAATTAGACATGAACAGGATCTCTAACTAATACAAAAGATTTTTTGCAAATGACATGGTGACACAAAACAGGAAAATGCTATGTGTATCTTTCTGAGAATGATAGCAGTCCCTCTGATGTGTGATAAGTGTGTATGGTGGCATTAGGTTGATGTGGTGAACTGTACTTTAAAAGTGATTTTTATATTAAATTAATTTTATATAAATTCTAAAAATTGTAGCCTTTTTATATTTTTCTGTCAGGTGAGATGTCTCATGTTAAAAAAATAATTTTACAAACATCCACCCAATCGCTTGTGATCCAGTTGTGGATCTTTGCTGACTAATTTTCATCTATTACCACACTAACTAACTAACTAATCCCTCTACTTTTGCCCACATAATACACAGTATATTCTATGAAACGCTTTGAGATGACTCGAAGGTGTGATGAGGCGCTATAATCGAATGCAAGGATTATTATTGTTCCTGTAGAATCATCATTTTTTCCAAATGAAAAGTGACCGTTGAGGAGGTCCCTATATTTTGGACTGTACTTTCGGTCACCTTTCCTCCCACTCAACCTTGTGTCAGGCTCTGCTGCTTGGTCAACCGTGTAAAAGGCTGTGTGACATTTTCCCAATGCGAAGAATGCTATAGAGGTGGAGAGTATGGAGACAGACCATTCAGCCCAACTAGTCCGTGACGACATTTATATTCCACACAAGTTCCACACCCCTTCTCTCTTGTGTATGCATCAAGTTTTCTCGTAAATGCACCGGTGCAGTTTGCTTCAGGCACAGTTTCTGTTGTAAGTCGCCCTGCCAGCAGATAGGTAGGAATTCCACTAAGTTCCCATCGTTTAGAGGAGACTCTTTAAACTTGACTTGTTTTTGTGCAATCG